AGAAGAAGAAGAAGAAGAAGAAGAAGAAGGAGGAGGAGGAGGAGGAGGAGGAGGAGGAGGAACAGGAGGAAGGACGCGGAGCTAAAGAGGTTGCAAGCAAGTTGCAAGCGCAGCCGCTGGAGAACCTTTGCACATAGCACGGCTTCTGCCCTGCCACTCTGACGCCCCTACCCAGACCCCTGCAGACTCGCTGCATGCCTCCAGCTGCACGGCCCGGTTCCTAACTGACCAAGGCCCGGTACCGGGAATGGGGGACCTCTGGTCTAACTTTCAAGGCAGATACGTCTCTGAATCTCTCCCTGAATTTTAAAAAAAGTTTTCCAGTGCATTAAGAAGCTCAGCCATTCATTAACTTGAAGGCACTGAGGAATCTGAATTAAGAAAATAGCCCTGAAACAATCACGGTGACAGGTTGTCTAATACATACATACATATATATATATATATATATATATATATATATATATATATATATATATATATATATATATATATATATACCTGCCTGCCTCCAGAAGCGGTGAATGCTCCAACACTGGAAGTTTTTAGGAAGAGACTGGAGAGCCATTTGTCCGAAATGGTGTAGGGTTTCCTGCCTGAGCAGGGGGTTGGACTCGATGACCTCCAAGGTCCCTTCCAACTTTATTATTATTATTATTACATACATACATGCATGCATGCATGCATACATACATACATGTCGTTGCACACCAAACGAAAGAAATCGATGCCCACCGCATTACTAAAATAAATAAATAAATAAATAAATCAGAAATCCAAAAGTGCCAAGCATCAAAACAGGACAGGTGCGTTATTCACAGCAATTAACTTTAGATTGTTACCTTAAAAAACACGCATCGCTTCGCAGACGGTAAAAATCTATTCCTGCCCGTTGGACCATGTGGCGACGAAGTAAGCCTCCTTGGATAGAAGAAGTCTACCTGACCGGCAGCGGGGCGGGGCGGGGTGGGGGAAAAGGATCCCGCTGCCCTGCCCTTTGGGGACCCCTAAAAAAAAAGCAGCAGCGGGATCAGCCTTCGCTTTTTGCAGGACGCTACCCAGCCATTTCCAAGCGTCTCGCTCCCGGGCGACGCTCTCCCCTCCCGGGTTCCCAGGGATCCACCGAGGACGACCGACTTAAAAAAAAAAAAAAAAAAGACGCTTTGCCTCCAAGATCAGGATGAGCCAGAAATGTCTTTGCGGGCAGGTCTAGGAGCCGAACTCGATCGTTTTAACTCTTTCATACCTCCCTCTACAGCAGGGGTCCTCAACCTTGGCCACTTTAAGACTTGTGGACTTCAACTCCCAGAATTCCTCAGCTAGCTTTGCTGGCTGAGGAATTCTGGGAGTTGAAGTCCACAAGTCTTAAAAGTTGCCAAGGTTGAGGACCTCTGCTCAACAGCAGTGTTTCTCAACCGTGCCAACTTTAAGATGGGTGGACTTCAACTCCCAGAATTCCCCAGCAAGCATTTGCTGGCTGAGGAATTCTGGGAGTTGAAGTCCGCAAGTCTTAAAGTTGCCAAGGTTGAG